TTTCATTGTTATCCACATTTGATATCATCATTTATCACATACTTCCATGACACTCTTGTCTGTCCACTACGAGTCCAAGAATTAACGCGGTTGGCGAAGCGTAGTGACAGCGGGCCAACAGAGAGCAGGATAGGATCCTTGCCATAATGCGGTTTGCGCGCCAATTTTCGTACGTGCGTTAATCAAGCCGAATAGTTTGGCCGAATATTCGGCTATTCGGTCACGCTCCTGGCCGAATATTCGGTATTCGGCCTGAGGCCGAATATACCATTCGTTACAACACTAATAAGAACTTATTATAAAAACACGCTGAAATATTACGTAAGATAAAGAAGGGGAGGGGAATCAAAGTAAATATTACGGTTTCTTATACAAGGGTGATGGGGTTTAAAATGGCTGAAATCGCCCTTACGTAATTTATGGATGGTCCCTAAGGTGGAGAAAAAATTAACCAACAGTCTTGGCGATTGGAGCACCCTCCGTGATTCTAATTTTTATATATGCAGAATTTTCATTATTACCAATCAGATTTGATTTATATTCATGATTAATTGTTATCTTGTTTGTTGTTGTCTGTGTTAATGATAGCCCAAGGTTGAACTTCTGCAGTAGCTCCAAATATAAATATTACACCACCCAAAAAATAAGCGAAAGATGCCATGTAGAATACGTAGTTCCAGTAAACCATGTCTCCTGCCTTATACGTAAACATAAATAAATAAATTTAGCAAATTTATAAAGTTATACACACAAATATAAATTTTAATTAAGAATCTTTAACTTACATTTTTATCTAGTATAACTCCAGCAACGTAAGGGGAAAATATACCTGCAGCATTACATAAACCATATGTCAATCCGAAAAGGACACCTAAAACATAATTTAAATTAAAGAATGTTCTTAACTATTGAATAAAATATTTCTTTTAACAAAGTCAATTAATTTGATTTTTTAAATATAATTTTAATCAAAGGAATAGAATAGAAATTATGCTCAAAAAGAAAATTATTACGAATAAGAGATTGTAATAGAATTAATGAAATCAAAATGTAATCAAAGTATCGTGTGAGGGTCGAACCGACCCGCAATAAAGTGTTATTTTAAACTTTAATTATTGGAAAATTCTTAACTTCGATCGTTTTATCAAGTTAGGTTAAACGCTATAAAAATTGTTTTCTACGAAGTTGGTTCCTTGTTGAGGAGGGAGGATCCAGCTAGTGAGTGATGTGTCACCCGGAACTTTCGATAAAGTGTCCACATTGGACGCCAGACCCTTAACAACTATCTCCTGACCACAGGGGAAAAACCCAAAAGGAATAAGAAGGGAGAACGAAAAAAACACCAAAGGTCAGTCATTTTCCAAAGTCCGTCTACCAAAGTCATCCTCAAAGATTAATACCGTGACCAAGAATCCAGTTTTAATTCTGGATTCTTGGTCACGGTTCTTGGGGATGATATCCTTAAAGAGGCACGATCGTTGTCATTGTGCAACGATCGTGCCTCTTTAAGGATATCATCCCCATTTCCGTCCCTCCACACCTCCGTGCTACTGTTAACGGACAAGACCCAGAACCATTTGATCGAACATTCCATCGGCGGGGTCATCTTACTACAGATTTTTGACTCAGAAGGAGGATATTTATCAACCCGCGATTCGTTTGTAAACTCTCTCTCGAACGGCTTAGTATAATTAGGGGAACTTTAGGCATGCCCGCTATCGAATATATCTGTATTTTCTTTGGTTCTTATTAAAATTGTTATTTGTCTGTATGTTAATATGTTAATATGGAATCCGAGTTAGTCACTTCTTTGTCTCTCTCCTCACCTCTACTCTGAATCCAACCGCTCACCCGCTACCGTTCGCGTGACGTAAAGTCGCGAATTACGAGTCCTGAGAGACTCAGTGGTGTCACATCCTGTCAACGACACACGGATCCTATAGTCACAATTGTTTAACTTGTGTCTGTCTGTCATCCTGTAATCTCGAGAAAGGTTTTAAATATTAGAGGTTCAAGACAATAAATAGAACATCTTATGAGCACAAAACTAGGATTAACTATACAAAATTGTCCGAAAGAAATCGGATGTGACGTTATTTTAATTCAAACATTTTTCCTTGAAAGAAGATAGATGATGATACAACACTGTTAATAGTAGGAAAAGTATGATATATAGGGGCAAGCCACTACTAATAATCACTTGAAAATATTAAAAATTAAAAATTTCAGCTTGTCATTGTGACCATGCCGCAGTAAATAATTACTCCTTATAGATATCGTGTTACCTCTTTTTACTTTAAATCTTGTTTACGATCGTAATAAATTATTAATCGCTTTAATATATGCAGTTTCTTACTTATAGAAGTCTCTTAGTTATTAATTCTATTTATTCTAGTAATGCTGTAATTACGATATTTTTAATAGTCTATTATTTTATGGCAGCTTACGGAAGGTAACTTAATTCATATTGCAATGAATCATTCTATGACTTGTTGCAATATGAATCAAGTTGCATAACGAGTCGCTTAAATTAAAATGTATTGTTGTATATAATTTTAAAATAGAAGATCGACATTGTATAAGTGTATTTTATTGGTGTAAAACCGTATAAATTTAAAAAAATACAAATCGCTATTCTTGATTCCCAGAAATTAATGTGATTCAGTCGTAATATCGCGAATAAATGGTTGCAATGCCTATGATCGGGGATAAATCGAATTTGGCTTCGATTGTGATTTTACTCGTGCTCCAGGTAGGAGTCCCGATATGCTTAGTAACGAACGATCATCCAATAGGGAAGCGTGATTGAGGGAGAATTACCAATTAAAACGGAAAAAAAAGAAGGGATATTAATCTCCCTTTTTTGTCCGTTCTGATTGGTAATTCTCCCTCAATCACGCTTCCCGAGCGGATGGTCTCTTGTTACTTAGCGTATCGGAACACTTACCTGGAGCACGAGTAAGGTCACAATCAAAACCAAATTCGATCTATCCTTGATCATAGGGCGACATTCCTTCGACGATTTATGATTTTTGCCTACAAAGAAAGCGTTCCGGATACAGACATTTCTTTCTAATGTTTCTAACCGATTAAATTTTTTAACTAAATTAACCGATTTTTGCGGATTTTGTGACGGTTCCGACCTTACAGAAATACTGATTTCATTTACTTGGATTTATCATTTTACCACTTGCCCTGTGCGAACGTAATATACATTTCATGAAGTCTTTGGTAAAATGCGAAAAACGTAATGTTACGTTTTTCTATATATCAAGTTATTTCTAGTTAATTAATTAAAGTTCAAAATAAGCAAAAAGCCGCGTGTTAACGCGTAAAACGCAGCTTCTGTCTAGTGTGCCATCCTGTAATCTGTGCCACTACAGGTTCAGATCGTCAGGACAATCGACGAAGTCTTCCAACCAGCCTTACGGACTTGTGAATGCCACTGTCCCAGGGCCTCATTCGATCGACCATCAAAGAAACTATGTCGACGCCCAGGTCTTCAGAACCGCGGTACGTTCTAGAACGAAAAATGTTTTGTATATTGGATGTCGCCTTTAGGTTAAAATAAACGTTTTATGTTAGACATTTATTATCGGGATAAAATCGTCCGACATAAGATTTTCCGCGCTTTTCCATATTTTCAAGCGGCGACTTTGGAAACTCGATCGCAGATTGGCTGGAAGACATTGTACGTCCAGCGGCGTCTGATAGCGCTACTAAGCGCTGATTGGTGGAATTCTATTTGCCTCAATCCGTATAAAAGGATTGAGTTTAGGCGGGAAGTTTAGTTTGCCTAGGACACATCAAGGGAACTCACGTTCATCTAGCTTCGCCTAAGCTGGCCTAGAAGATTGTTTCGTCTCGCTGGGTGGTAACTAACGTTGGAAGGAGTTTGTCGCAAGGTATCCTTTTCGACGGACCTGTTGTCGTGGCTTTAAAGTATTTGAAATTTGTTACACCAGAAGTATTGTAATTGTGTTGTTTTGTGAACTTTTGTAACTGTATATATGTTTTACTCGTAATATAAACGTTTAGTGGAAATTCAGTAACGTCTCGTATACGTTTTTAAATTTGACTTTTATTAACACTGTCTTCTCGCTACCACCTACTTACGAACCATCACCTAGACCAGGGGTGGCCAACTTTTGTGTACATAAGATCTACTTTTTATTTTAAAAATGTGTCGCGATCGACTCGTTGTCGTAGGCATAGTCTAAGTCAGGGGTGGGTATTCCGCGGCCCGAGTCGCATAAAATGTGTATATATATATCAATTTCCTAGCTTAAGAAGTATGCAGCAAAAATTCAAACGTTATTTTCTACAACTTATGTGTGTGAATAGTTTTTCCTGCAATGAATTTAGTAAAAATCAAAACGAGAAACCGGCTAACAGACTCACATCGAAACTAATTTAAAACTAGCAGTGACTAATATTTAATCAAATATTTTTGATACATTACGTTTACATCAGTTCTAGAAGCTAAATTAAGTATACCTATTCTATTTTATAATTATATATGAATAAATAATTGTGATTTACCGGCATTTCCCTCCCTCTTTTATCTTATATGTGGCCGGCGTTAGTTCAAAAGTTTTGAAATGCGGCCCTTACACAGAAAAAGGTTGCCCATCCCTGGTCTAAGTGGCGAGGAGGAGGGAGGTGTGAAATACATAGATAGAAAAGAAAAGCCACAATTTAATTTAAAACACAAAGAAAAGGTACTTACATTTTAAACAAGAAAAATTGAAACTCAACGTTGTCACTTTCGGGGACCACCACTTCACCCTTCTTCTCTCTACCGTGTCCCGACCTACTCTCTCTGTCCCTTCTTTTTTTCAATTTTACGACCCTTTGTCTACATTTCCTATTTCCCTTTTACAACTGTACGCAAATGGATTGCACATGGACCGACATAACCGCATCTGAGGGAGAACGAGGAGGTCCGATATCACTACAGTTGCGTTTGCGCATTTCGTTCACGCGTTGCGTTCGGTTACAACTTACAAGTGTAATACATTAAGTCAAGTCATCGCGAGCGATCGACCAAAATTGGTTTTGCGATCGACTTGTTGGCCACCCCTGACCTAGACCATCACTGACACACGGAATTAATTGATTTGCTCTAAAAATTGATGAAACACTGGTGTCTAAGAAGTGGGATTTCAAGTCCCCGTACTCTCCCAGATTGGCAAACTTACATTTGTATTAGTCTGTTTATAATTTTAGACAATATTAAAAATGAGCATGAGATCAAAGTATACAACAGGACAAAATTAGCAACTGAGTAATGAAGAGTACGGTTTAAAAGTATGCAAATTTTCCATTCAGATTGCAGACATCATCTTACAGCATACGAAAAAATTCGGAGAAAATAGAAATATACACCTGGAAAAAAATTAAAAGTAATGGACTTCGAATAATGTTTGCGAGTTTGTTTGTATTGATATTAGTGTAGGGAATATTTCGATATATTTTAAGAACTCACTTAAATACCTGAGAAAATATTGTTGATTTAACAGCAATTTGTCTCAAGTTGTGTTCCCTTTCATTATGCACTTAGCTTCACCGACAATATTTATATTATGCTAAATTAATTAAGTATAGGCCTACGTTATCATTTAACTAAGTTCATTCTTAGTGTTAATAGCGTATAATTGAAGATTTGTATGAATTCACACCCAGTTTTTGTTTCAACGGACATTTATACTTATTACATTATTTAATAACATACTTCACTCTTTCTGATCTGTAAATTCTATGTGAGCGTTTTTTCCGGTGTATAGTGAATTCAATTAAAACTACAATATATATTTCCCAAATCATGTATATCAGGACCAGGGTTCTAAGTTGGTGGGACAGACCACCTCAAAAAATTTTTGGGGTTGCTCTTTGGGATTGAATCCTGGATTTCTAACAGCAGTAAACAGAATTCTCAATATTCTCGGCCATTCGACTGGCTTTATTGCGTAATCTATGATCAATTGTACTGTACTATATATACTACACTAATTATACTATATTGTTTTTATTCTTAAGTTAAGCGAAATAAATAAGATTTTTAAAATGTCACGTATTCCTAGGATCGATTTTTCATCTTTGTGGGTTCTGACACATCATTTGCTCAGAACGAACGACTCACTATGACTTTTAGTCACAATTATTTTCGAAAAATGTTCGAGAAATTTTCACTGAATACCGTATTCTGTGATAAAATTAAGAAAAATAATGACTTACCTGCAAATTCTGGTGCTAAATCAAGCACTATTGCAACATCTCCTGAATTATTAAAGCCGAAAAGACCTATTCCAACCATTAAACAAATAATTATTTTTGTACTTTCGCAGCGAAGAAATGAAATCGCTAAGATGCATGCTGCCGGACCAAACATAGCTACAATATAAATATTTAATTATATAACGCCAGAAATTTTAAAACATAATTTAAAAATTACGATATTGCGGTTCCTTACCAATTCCTTCGGAAAATTTTCTAATATTACTTATACTTAAATAGTCACGAGATTTCATGAAATCAGCAATAAAACCACAAATAAACATAAATATAGCATCCACAAAATACACTAATGCACTCATTATTCCATTCTAAAACACAAATAATATACATAAATTTGGTGATATAAGACTTATGTATAGAAATCGTCATACCTTTTCGATAGGGAAGTGCTGAATGATATGTAAGTAGGATGGAAATTTAGTCAATATTGCAAAATAACCGAAACCCCAACTAATTTTCGTCAAAGCTACTATCCATACTGCTCTAGATGTTAAAATTTGTTTCCAGGGTATATTCAACTTCTGTATTAAGTAAACATGTATTTATGAGAGCTTAGGCAATAAAGTAGAGTAACAAATGATATTACCTTTTCTCTTGAAGAGATGTTTGGTATGCTTTCGTTAAGAAATGTCAACTCTTTGTCGGATATTCTGGGATGTTGTTGAGGTCTATCATAAATTGTGAACGTAAGACATAAAGAAAGGACAATCCCACATATGCCTGTTGTAAATATATAGATTAGAAATTATACTGTCGCATTTTAGCATTGAAGAAACAGTTGTATTATTTATGTTTACCGAAAGAGTAGAAACTGGAAGACCATCCTTTATGTTCACAAAGATATCCTGTTGTCATTAAACCAACAAGTGTACCGACTTGAGTACCA